GGTGTTTGGGGAGGGGGCTCTGGGGTGTTTGAGGGGGCTCGGGGGTTTGGGAGGTTCCTGGGGTATTTGGGGAGGGGTCTCTGGGACATTTTTGGGGTTTTTAGGCTCCGTAACCCCAATTTTTGCCCTTCCCAGAGTGGCCAAGCAGCGCCGCATCGCACCGGGGCACTCACGGGGGTGTGGGGGGGATTTGGGGGGTTTTGGGGTGGATTTTGGGGGATTTTGGGGTTTTTGGGGTGGATTTGGGGGGATTTTGGGGTGGATTTTGGGGTTTTTGGGGCTCTGTGACCCGTTTCTCCCCCCCCAGCGTCTCCAAGCAGCGCCGCATCGCGCCGGGGCCGTCGTACGGGGGTTTTGGGGTGGATTTTGGGGATTTTGGGGTGGATTTAGGGGATTTTGGGGTAGATTTTGGGGATTTTGGTGTGGATTTAGGGGTTTTGGGGTGGATTTTGGGGTTTTTTGTGTTGATTTTTGGGTTTTTTGGGGCTCTCTAACCCATTTTTCCCCCCCCAGTGTCTCCAAGCAGCGCCACATTGCGCCGGGGCTGTCGTACGGGGATTTTGGGGTGGATTTTGGGGTTTTTGGGGTGGATTTTGGGGATTTTGGGATGGATTTTGGGGTTTTTGGGGTGGATTTAGGGGTTTTTGGGGTGGATTTTGGTGTTTTCTGACCCGTTTTTCTCTCCCCAGCGTCTCCAAGCAGCGCCGCATCGCGCCGGGGCCGTCGTACGGGGATTTTGGGGTGGATTTCGGGGATTTTGGGGTGGATTTAGGGGATTTTGGGGTGGATTTTGGTGTTTTTGGGGTGGATTTTGGTGTTTTCTGACCCGTTTTTCTCTCCCCAGCGTCTCCAAGCAGCACGCCATCATGCCGGGACAGTCGTACGGGCTGGAGGACGGTTCCTGCAGCTACAAGGATTTCAGCGGCTCCCGCAACAATCGCTTCTCCACGCCCGAACAGGCGGCCAAGAACCGCATCCAACACCCCAGCAACGTCCTGCACTTCTTCAACGCCCCCCTGGACGTCACCGAGGAGAACTTCTACGAGGTGGGGCTGCCCTTCGTCCTCATCTTCATCGTCCTCATCATCCTTCATCATCGTCCTGCGTTATCCTCCTCCTTCGTCATCATCCTTCGTCATCATCCTTCTTCATCATCCTTCTTCATCATCCTTCATCATCATCCTTCTCCTTCATCATCCTCCTGCTCCATCCTCATCCTTCATCCTTCATCATCATCCTCCTGTTCCATCATCATCCTTCTTCATCCTTCATCATCCTCCTTCATCATCATCCTGCATTATCCTCCTCCTTCGTCATCATCCTTCATCATCCTTCTCCTTCATCATCCTTCATCATCATCCTTCATCATCATCCTTCTCCTTCATCATCATCCTTCGTCATCCTTCTCCTTCACCATCATCCTGCATTATCCTCCTCCTTCGTCATCATCCTTCATCCTCATCCTTCATCCTTCATCATCATCCTCCTGTTCCATCATCATCCTTCATCTTCATCCTTCATCATCATCCTTCTCCTTCATCATCCTCCTGTTCCATCCTCATCCTTCATCCTTCATCATCATCCTTCATCATCATCCTCCTGTTCTATCATCATCCTTCATCTTCATCCTTCATCATCATCTCCTTCATCATCCTCCTGCTCCATCCTCATCCTTCATCATCATTCTTCATCATCCTTCATCTTCATCCTCCTGCTCCATCATCATCCTTCATCCTTCATCATCATCCTTCTCCTTCATCATCATCCTGCATCGTCCTCCTTCATCATCGTCCTCCCCCTCCATCATCCTCCTTCTCCTTCATCCTCCTTGTCCTGAATCCTTCTCTTTCATCCTCATCCTTCATCTTCATCCTTCATCATCATTCTTCTCCTTCCTCATCATCATCCTTCTCCTTCATCATCATCCTCCTCCTTCATCATCATCCTTCTCCTTCCTCATCATCCTCCCCCTCCTTCATCATCATCATCCTCCTTCCTCATCATCCTGCATCATCCTCCTTCGTTATCATCCTCCTCCTCTTTCATCATCCTTCATCCTTCTCCTTCATCCTCATCCTTCATCACCCTTCTCCTTCATCCTCCTCTTCCTGCATCATCCTTCATCCTTCATCATCATCCTTCATCATCATCCTTCTCCTTCCTCATCATCCTCCCCCTCCTTCATCATCATCCTCCTCCTTCCTCATCATCCTCCCCCTCCTTCATCATCATCCTCCTCCTTCCTCATCATCCTCCCCCTCCTTCATCATCATCCTCCTCCTTCCTCATCATCCTCCCCCTCCTTCATCATCATCCTCCTCCTTCCTCATCATCCTCCCCCTCCTTCATCATCATCCTCCTCCTTCCTCATCATCCTCCCCCTCCTTCATCATCATCATCCTTCATCATCCTTCTCCTTCGTCATCCTCCTGCTCCATCCTCATCCTTCATCTTCATCCTTCATCATCCTCCTTCTCCTTCATCATTGTCCTGCATTATCCTCCTCCTTCATCATCATCATCCTTCATCATCCTTCTCCTTCGTCATCCTCCTGCTCCATCCTCATCCTTCATCTTCATCCTTCATCATCATCCTTCATCATCATCCTTCTCCTTCATCCTCCTCCTCTTCCTGCATCATCCTTCATCATCCTCCTTCATCATCATCCTTCATCATCCTTCTCCTTCATCATCCTCCTCTTCCTGCATCATCATCCTTCATCCTCCTCCTTCATCCTCCTCCTCCTTCATCCTCCTCCTCCTCCTCCTCCCCCAGCTCTGCGGCCTCCCCTCCTGCTCCTCCTCCCCTTTTCCTTCTGGTTCTGCCTTCCTCCTCCTCCTCCTCCTCCTCCTCCTCCCCCTCCTC